TGGGTGAATGGACATAACAAAGGGGATATTAATAGGGTATTAAAAGTATCAACACAAGACAGAGCACGAAACAATGGGTATAAATTGGATAAGTTTAGATTTAGGAAAGACTTGGGTAAATACTGGTTCAGTAACAGGGTTGTTGATTTGTGGAACCAATTGCCGCGTAACATTGTGGAGGTGGGGTAAGAACATAAGAACATAAGAACAAAGGTAACTGCAGAAGGCCTATTGGCCCATACGAGGCAGCTCCTATTCTATAACCACCCAATCCCACTCATATACTTGTCCAACCCGTGCTTGAAACAATCGAGGGACCCCACCTCCACAATGTTACGCGGCAATTGGTTCCACAAATCAACAATTTGTGTCCCTCGATTGTTTCAAGCATGGGTTGGACATGTATATGAGTGGGATTGGGTGGTTATAAATAGGAGCTGCCTCGTATGGTCCAACAGGCCTTCTGCAGTTGCCTTTGTTCTTATGTTCTTATGTTCATTCACTGGAAAGGCGAAGAGTTAGGGGTGACATGATAGAGGTTTACAAGTGGATGAACGGACATAACAAAAGGGATATTAATAGGGTATTAAAAGTATCAACACAAGACAGAACACGAAACAATGGGGATAAATTGGATATGTTTAGATATCCAGTTTAGTATCACCAACACTGACGAAGCTACAGTACAGTATCACCAACACTGACGGAGCTACAGTACAGTATCACCAACACTGACGGAGCTACAGTACAGTATCACCAACACTGACGGAGCTACAGTACAGTATCACCAACACTGACGGAGCTACAGTACAGTATCACCAACACTGACGGAGCTACAGTACAGTATCACCAACACTGACGGAGCTACAGTACAGTATCACCAACACTGACGGGTCTGGATTCAAGTGACAGGATGAACAACCCAGCGGGTTTTCTTCCTTTTGGGGAGTGTTGGACATGCTGCTATGACGGTATGTCCACTGACAAGATAAGTAGCGCTGCCCAATAAACTTGCCCCTCGGGACAAAATTTAAAAAACAAAATTGACGGAGCTACAATACAGTACAGTATCACTAACATACCCTGAGGTTACCTTGAGGTGGGGGCTGAGCGTCCCCGCGGCCCAACGTCGAACAGGCCTCCTGGTTGCTGGACTGGTCAACCAGGCTGTTGGTCGCGGCTGCTCGCACACTGACGTATGAATCACAGCCTGGTTGATCAGGTATCCTTTGGTGGTGCTTATCCAGTTCTCTCTTGAACACTGTGAGGGGTCGGCCAGTTATGCCCCTTATGTGTAGTGGAAGCGTGTTGAATAGTCTCGGGCCTCTGATGTTGATAGTTCTCTCTCAAAGTACCTGTTGCACCTCTGCTCTTCAACGGGGGTATTCTGCACATCCTGCCATGCCTTCTGGTCTCTTGTGGTGTTATTTCTGTGTGCAGGTTTGGGACCAGCCCCTCTACTATTTTCCACGTGTAAATTAATATGTATCTCTCCCGCCTGCGCTCAAGGGAGTACAGATTTAGGCTCTTTAGTCGGTCCCAGTAGTTCAGATGTTTTACTGAATGGATTCTAGCAGTAAAGGATCTCTGCACGCTCTCCAGGTCAGCAATTTCTCCAGCTTTGAAAGGGGCTGTCATTGTGCAGCAGTTCTCCACTCTAGAGAGCACTAACGTCTTGAAAAGTATCATCATCGGTATAGCATCTCTAGTGTGAAAAGTTCTTGTTATCCAACCTGTCATTTTTCTTGCAGTTGTGACGGCTACTTTATTTTGTTCTTTAAAGGGAAGGTCTTCCGACATGAGTACACCCAAATCCTTTACATTACCTTTTCGTTCTATGTTATGATTTGACTGCATTTTGTACGTGGTTTCCGTTTTTATATTTTTCATTTTTATCCGTAGCGCATGAGCTGGAACATATCTTCGTTAAAGACCATATAATTTTCTGTAGCCCATAGAAAGACCTGATCTACATCTGATTGGAGGTTTGCCGTGTCCTCTATGTTGTCTACTCTCATGAAGATCCTAGTGTCATCTGTAAAGGATGATACAGTGCTATAGGTTGTGTTCTTGTCTATGTGCGATATGAGGATGAGAAAAAGTACTGGAGCAAGCACAGTACCCTGGGGGAATGAGCTTTTCACGGATGATGGACCAAATTTTATTTTGTTGACTATTACACATTGGGTTCTGTTAGTCAGGAAATTGTAGATCCATCTGCCTATTTTTCCGGTAATTCCTTTTGAACGCATTTTATGTGCAATAACACCGTGGTCACATTTGTCAAAGGCTTTTGCGAGATCTGTGTAAATTACATCAGCTTTTTGTCTTCCATCGCATCTAATGCCATATCATAGTGGTCCAGTAATTGTGACAGGCAAGAGCGCCCTGTTTTGAAACCATGTTGTCCGGGGTTATGGAGATGCTGTGATTCCATGTATTTTGTGATCTTACTTCTTAGCACTCTCTCAAAGATTTTTATGATGTGCGATGTTAGTGCTATCGGTCTGTTATTTTTTGCCTCTGCCTTATTTCCTCCTTTATGGAGTGGTGCTATCTCTGCTGTTTTTAGTATGTCAGGGATAACGCCAGTATCTAGGCTTTGTCTGCACAGAATGGGAAGGGCCTGTGATAGTGGTTTTTTACAGTTCTTGATGAATATGGAGTTCCAAGAATCCGGGCCTGGTGCAGAGTGCATAGGCATACTGTTTATGGCTTCTTCAAAATCCAGTGGGGATAGGGTGACGTCTGATATATGATTTGATTTTGGTATCATATCCATGAAAAATTCATTTGGGTTATTAATTTTTAATGTATTTAGTGGCTCGGTAAAAAACAGTCGTAGTGCTTCCTCAGTAACTCGCTCATTTCTTTGTTGTTATCAGTGAAAGTTCCATCTCCCTTTCGCAGGGGCCCGATACTAGATGTGGTTTTTGATCTTGATTTTGCATAGGAGAAAAAATATTTCGGATTTCTCTCTATTTCACTGATAGCCTTTTGCTCTCTTTGCCTCTCCTGGGTTTTGTATAATTCTTGTAGCTTGAGTTCAATTGTTTCTATTTCTCTACCTAACCTTCTTCGCCGTTCTTGAGATAAGGTGCGACTCTCAAGTTGTTCCGCGATTCGTTTTCTTCGCCTATATAGGGAACAACGTTCCGGTTCCAGTCTGCATCTCTTCCTCTTTTTTCTTAGGGGTATGCGGTTTGAACATATTTCTAGTGCTACTGAGCTTATTTTTTTCCAGGCACTGGTTCAGGTTTGCATTTTCTATCTGTTCTTCCCAGTTTATTTCTGTGAAGTCCTGGTTTACTTGCTCACAGTTTATCTGTTTATTATTGAAGATGAATTTGCTGAAATCTCCTCCACCGGGAATCTGGACTGGTTTTGAAGGTCTACTCCCCATGGTTGTCAGAACTTCAATTAAGTTGTGATCTGAGTAACAGGTATTTGTAATCATTATGTTCCTGATCAATTCATCATTATTGGTGAAAATGAGGTCCAGCGTGTTCTCCTTCCTAGTTGGTTGTACTATTTGCTGGTTTAAGGCAAACCTGTCGCACATCCGTAGCAGGTCATTTGCATGTGTCTTTTCATTTAAGCTACTTCCTGGTATTCTTTCTGATATTAGCCAGGTGCTTCAATTTCAGGTGCCGTAGATTGAAGTCCCCAAGCAGGATGATGTTCGGGGCTGGATTTGAGAGGTTTTCCATGCAGTGTTCTATTTTCATTACTTGGTCTTTAAACTGCTGAGGGTTTGCCTCCGGTGACTTATATACAAGAACAATAACTATATTTAGGATCTCTATTTTGATTATCAGCACTTCCACCTTATCGTTTGTGGTGTTTAGCAGCTCAGTACATATGAGTGTGTCCTTGTAGCAACCTGTTCTCTTAAAAAGAACGTCGCTTTTGGCCGTTTGCCCGTATGGCCGAATATGGACGTAATTTGAAAATAAAAAAAAATGAATATAAATTTGGGATTTTTTTTCAACAACAGTAAGTTAAGGGTCCTCTGATAGGTTAAGTGGGCAGGAAATTCTCATAAAGTTTCAAACGTTAATGGAAAGAATCCTCTTCTAAGCTTGCCGAGTAAGCCGGACGACTCAAACAGAAAACGGAACAGTACGTCACTTTTGTGAGTCGATTTCATTTCAAATTACGTCCAAATTTGGCCATAGCGCGCATACGAGCGAAAAGTGACGTTATTTTTAAGAGGACGCGATGTTACATCATGCTGACCCCACCCTGTAGTCTATTTCCTGTCACATCTAAAAAGATTGTACTCTGAGATCCATATTTCACCCTCATGGTAGTCCATTGTGCGAGTTTCCGTTAGGGCTGCAAACACTGCATTTGCCTCATGAAGGAGACCATCTATAAAATGAACTGTGTTAGATTTGCGTGTTTTAATGCCGTGGATGTTGGCAAATATAAATGATGTTATCGTGTTAGTGGAAGTGCTGGATGCCTTACTTGGTGTTAATATCTGAGGCTCTGGTAAGGAGGCCACTGTGTTTGCGTCCTCTCGAGCATTTGACCGAGATGGTGGTAGAGTCTGGACATATTTAGCCATTCTTCTCCTCCTTCTCTTGCTGAAAAATCCTCCTGGTCGATAGAGTTGTGGCTGTTTTCATAGTGGCGGTCTGTCGGTTTTATTCGCCTGGTACCTCTTACATGAAAAGCTGGAGATTCTGTATTGAAGAATTCTTTCCTGTCCAAAGAGTTCTTGCAAATTTCTGAGTGAAAGAATTCACAGCTTTTGGTACATTTACCCGTACTGAAGAGGTGTCTGTACTTTCTAGGGTGATCGTACTTACATGTTCCATTTGTTCTTCCCGATATCCCATGCTTACGAAACATTGAGAGAGTTACGGTACAGAATCGCCTGTAGGATCACTTCAGGATGACAGTATCAGTTCAGGATGACAGGATCAATGAGGATGACAGGATGGTACATAAAAAGAGTATAGCCGTACGAAGGGAATAACTTCAGTACTTACCAGCAAGCAGCGAGAGGAGCGTGGCCCAGACGGCCACGAAGGCGGCCATCTTGATGCTTCTCCCACAGTGTTTACCAGCGGCGCCAGGAGCACGTCCTCGCTCTGGGCGCCTCACATCACATCACAACACTGCAGACTGGTCTTTCTCCTCCTCGAGTTCTGATGCTCTTATGTCACTGGCCTTCAAACACTGATTTCTAGTGGTGTGTCAAACACTAAACCGCTGATGGGTTCTTCCTTCACTTGCGAGCTTATTGGTCACTGGTTAATAAGTAACGTCCTCCCTCACTTGCAAGCTTTTGGTCACTGGTAAATAAGTAACGTCCTCCCTCACTTGCAAGCCTTTGGTCACTGGTAAATAAGTAACGTCCTCCCTCACTTGCAAGCTTTTGGTCACTGGTAAATAAGTAACGTCCTCCCTCACTTGCAAGCCTTTGGTCACTGGTAAATAAGTAACGTCCTCCTTCACTTGCGAGCTTATTGGTCACTGGTAAATAAGTAACGTCCTCCCTTACTTGCAAGCTTTTGGTCACTGGTAAATAAGTAACGTCCTCCCTCACTTGCAAGCTTTTGGTCACTAGTAAATAAGTAACGTCCTCCCTTACTTGCAAGCTTTTAGTCACTGGTAAATAAGTAACGTTTTCCTTCACTTCCGAACTATTGTTTTGGTCACCGGTAAACTAGTAATGTTTTCTATGTTTACTAAGCGTTTTCTTGAATATTCACGGTCCTTTGAACTAAGTTGTAGCCGTAACTAACGTATGTATATAAACCATCAGCGTATAAATGATAAGGAAAGGAACTTCAACTTTCAATTATTAATGATAAATAATTAAAGGAAAAATAATTATAAATTAAGTATAATATTATCAAAGCTAAAATATTCCAACCAAAATTACCTGCGCTATGAATTACCTAAGAGATCAAAAGTTTAACTTGGGGTCACCACCAGGAGAGCTGGGAGACTGGTCAGGTCACCAGGAGAGCTGGGAGACTGGTCAGGTCACCAGGAGAGCTGGGAGACTGGTCAGGTCACCAGGAGAGCTGGGAGACTGGTCAGGTCACCAGGAGAGCTGGGAGGCTGGTGAGGTCACCAGGAGAGCTGGGAGACTGGTCAGGTCACCAGGAGAGCTGGGAGACTGGTCAGGTCACCAGGAGAGCTGGGAGACTGGTCAGGTCACCAGGAGAGCTGGGAGACTGGTCAGATCACCAGGAGAGCTGGGAGACTGGTCAGGTCACCAGGAGAGCTGGGAGACTGGTGAGGTCACCAGGAGAGCTGGGAGGCTGGCGAGGTCACCAGGAGAGCTGGGAGACTGGTCAGGTCACCAGGAGAGCTGGGAGACTGGTCAGGTCACCAGGAGAGCTGGGAGACTGGTCAGGTCACCAGGAGAGCTGGGAGACTGGTCAGATCACCAGGAGAGCTGGGAGACTGGTCAGGTCACCAGGAGAGCTGGGAGACGGGTCAGGTCACCAGGAGAGCTGGGAGACTGGTCAGATCACCAGGAGAGCTGGGAGACTGGTCAGGTCACCAGGAGAGCTGGGAGACTGGTCAGGTCACCAGGAGAGCTGGGAGACTGGTCAGGTCACCAGGAGAGCTGGGAGACTGGTCAGGTCACCAGGAGAGCTGGGAGACTGGTAAGGTCACCAGGAGACTGGTAAGGTCACCAGGAGAGCTGGGAGAGTGGTAAGGTCACCAGGAGACCTGGGAGACTGGTAAGGTCACCAGGAGAGCTGGGAGGCTGGTGAGGTCACCAGGAGAGCTGGGAGACTGGTAAGGTCACCAGGAGAGCTGGGAGACTGGTAAGGTCACCAGGAGAGCTGGGAGGCTGGTAAGGTCACCAGGAGACTGGTAAGGTCACCAGGAGAGCTGGGAGACTGGTAAGGTCACCAGGAGAGCTGGGAGACTGGTAAGGTCACCAGGAGAGCTGGGAGACTGGTAAGGTCACCAGGAGAGCTGGGAGACTGGTCAGGTCACCAGGAGAGCTGGGAGACTGGTCAGGTCACCAGGAGACTGGTAAGGTCACCAGGAGACTGGTAAGGTCACCAGGAGACTGGTAAGGTCACCAGGAGAGCTGGGAGACTGGTAAGGTCACCAGGAGAGCTGGGAGACTGGTAAGGTCACCAGGAGAGCTGGGAGACTGGTCAGGTCACCAGGAGAGCTGGGAGGGGCTGCTAGTGACCTGTTCAGAGCCGAGCAGGTAAGCGACTGACTCCCTCCACCAAAATTCCACATTCCTGGAATACGCGTTTCGAGAAAAATCTAAAATTCATTGTTTTCAAATGTGTCGTTCTCAGAATTGCGCCAAGACCTGCTATTGGCCCACGAGAGAGCCAATCACAGGACGTGAATGATTAACATCGATTGGGCGTGTTCTCCTTCACGTGACTACCTAATCGCTCGCTTTGCCCAACCTGGTCCTTATGTTGCGAAGTGTGTGCGGCAGTCGAGTTGTTATTTGGTTTGACGTATTGCTTAAGCAATGTTGCAGCGCCTGATTGTAATGATTTTATGGCCGGCGATGACTTCTGGTGCGATGGGGGGGGGGCGTATGGAATTTTATCGGGCTTTGTACACCGAGGTCAGGGTCCAGGAGCTGGAGCACCGTACACAAGGACTGGGCTGGTCTGCTGAAATAAGAACCAAGGTCAACTGTATCTAGGCTAAGAGAAAACAAACATGAGACACAGAGGCAGAAGAAGAAGATGAAGAAAGAAAGAAAGAAAGAAAGAAAGAAAGAAAGAAAGAAAGAAAGAAAGAAAGAAAGAAAGAAAGAAAGAAAGAGAGAGAGAGAAAGAGAGAAAGAGAGAAAGAGAGAGAGAGAGAGAAGAGAGAGAAGAGAGAGAGAGAGAGAGAGAGAGAGAGAGAGAGAGAGAGAGAGAGAGAGAGAGAGAGAGAGAGAGAGAGAGAGAGAGAGAGAGAGAGAGAGAGAGAGAGAGAGAGAGAGAGAGAGAGAGAGAGTGAGTGAGTGAGTGAGTTTGGGAAGGCCACAGAAGAACGCTGTGAAATGTCTGGGAAGATATTAATAAAGTCTCACGACTCTCGTACAACTTACAATATGCCATGGATGTGTGTACTCACCTAGTTGTGCGGGACCAAAGAGCTCCGGCTCTTTGGTCCCGTCTCTCAACTGTCAATCAACTGGTGTACAGGTTACTGAGCCTATTGGGCTCTGTCATATCTACATTTGAAACTGTGTATGGAGTCAGCCTCCACCACATCATTGCCTAATGCATTCCACTTGATAACTACTCTGACACTGAAAAAGGCTACTCTGACACTTGTTCTCACGAAGGCTCTTAGCTGCCGCTTTGAGCTCGGGGGACAGTATGGTGCTTCTGTAGTTGCCTGGAATCAACCTCACTGAGGACCAAGTCACTCTCCTAAATCTGGGTATAAACTGTCACGTTATGTCCAGACCAAGTGAGATGGCCCGGAAAGTGGAGTTGGAGATCCTGTTGGACGACATATTCGACCTCGAGACACAAAAGAAGGTCACCACCAAAGATACCTTACAAGCAGAACTTATTGAAGAAGGAGGAAAGAATCGAGGCAACTACAGAAGCACCATACTGTCCCCCGAGCTCAAAGCGGCAGCTAAGAGCCTTCGTGAGAACAAGGAGATAGTCGTCAGGAGAGGTGACAAGTCACCAATATATGTCATTCTTAAAAAACACGAATATCTGGCGAAAATGAACCTCATACTCTCTGACCAAACTAAATTCCAAAGGGTAACGAAGGACACTACAGCCAAATTGAAAGCAAAGGTCAACAAATTGATCGAAACTGTGAACGCCAAGAAATCTGGACTCCACCTGCCAAAGATTATTGGGGAATACAAACCTGGATACGCGTATGGAAATGTCAAGACACACAAGCCTGAAAACCCACTTCAGCCAATCATCAGCCAGATACCCACACCCACGTACAGACTGGCAAAGCGACTCAATGGCTTGCTGACTCCTTATGTCCCTTGCGCCTTCAGCCTGAAGTCTCCAAAGGAATTTGTTGACTTACTGCGGGGAACACGGGCCACAGGGATAAGAGCCTCATTGGACGTAGAATCACTGTTTACCAACGTACCTGTGGATGAAACAATCGGGATGATAGCGGACAGAGTGTATCGTGATCTGGCCTGTACTCCTCTTGACATATCAGAAAACATTCTAAGGAAACTACTCCAAGCTTGTACTAAAGAGGCACCCTTCTTGAGCCCGGATGGACACATGTATAAGCAAGTAGATGGGGTTGCCTTGGGTTTTCCCCTAGGTGATTTTTTGCGAACTTCTACATGGGTACCATCGAACAAAAGCTCTTAGTCGACATGAACTTGAAACCGGCCATATACTGCAGGTATGTTGACGACATTTTTAAACAGGTACCTGATGTTAGACATCTGCAGGAGCTGAAGGAGGCATTTGAGCGGAATTCTGTGTTGCGTTTCACTTACGAGATGGAGAAGGATGGGAAGCTGCCCTTTCTAGATGTAACAATCATGGAAACGAGCGGAGGTTTCCACACTGCAGTCTACACTAAGGAAACAAACATGGGAATGTGCCTAAATGCCAACAGTGACTGCCCAGACAGGTACAAGAGGAGTGTCGTTAACGCTTATGTCGACCGTGATCTCAGCCACAGCTCAGGATGGAAGCATGTCGATGAAGAACTCTGTAGGGTAAGGCAGGTCCTAGTCAACAACGGCTTCTCCAATGGTTTCGTTGAAGACATCATAAGAAGGAAGGTGAAACGCCATGCAACCTCTGAAGAGACAACTAACACAACACCTGTACCCCCTATTAGACTCTTTTACAGGAACTTCTTTTCCACAGCTCATAAAACGGAGGAAAGGGTCCTGAAAGATATTGTTAATAGGAACGTTATCCCTACAGACAAAAATCAGAAGATACAATTGACGATTTACTATAAATCCAAAAAAACGGCCAACCTACTCATGAGAAACACTCTCCAGACACAAAGCAGAACGCTTTAAAAGAGATTAATGTCGTCAATGCCTTCAAATGCCCACTTGGGGACTGTAAGCCTCAAAGAACTCAGTATATAGGCAAGACAACAACATCTCTTTCCAGGCGATTAACGATGCATAAGCAACAGGGCACCATTAAGGAACATATAATCTCTTCCCACAACCAGACCATCACCAGAGAAGTCTTAACAAAAAACACAGAAATCATCGATAGATACAGCAATAGCAGGCGGCTTGATATCTGCGAGGCACTACACATCAAGAAGTCAACACCAGCAATCAACAGCCAATTAATGCACAACTATATTCTACCCACTTCAAGACTCCGCACCAATATAGAAGCATCAAGAAATATGGGCCAATAGGCCCTCTGCAGTTACTTCCATTCTTCCCTTTAACTTACCCAATATTATACCCATTGTTTCGTGTTCTGTCTTGTGTTGAAAGTATGTTTTCACCTCATCCAAAACTGTTGTAACATATCACCTCACCCAAATGCAGGCATATAAAATGAAAGCCGTTTAAATTATAGCATAGCCTAGAGAACATAAAAAACATCATCACCAAAAAACTCTCACATCTCAACAAAGCCGACCTGCACCAGAGAATAGCTGAAGGTTCGCCATCTGCAACATGGTATCTTCAGGCAACCAAATTAGAAAGGTTAAATATCCCAAAAGGAATCCACAGGGAAATAGCAGTTAGGTTATATAGACTACGTCTAGGTTACAGATGCAACTGGGAGATTGGTGAACCCCGACAGAGAGAGTGCATCTTCTGCCAAACTGTCACAGAAAAGCCATTACTTCACTATCTTCTGGAATGTGAAGCAACCAATGACCTTAGAAGAGCTTTAAGAGTTCCTGAATCATGCAGTGGCCACCCTGAAGCCATCAACACAGCCACTCTCCTGGTCAACAAAAGTGTCCAGCAGCTGGACACCCTCATAAAGACTGTGAAGCAGTATCCTCCCCGCGATAACAGCTTGATGGTTAAATGCAACCTCAGAATACTGAGAAAAAAAAATTGTACCACTTACGGGCTATTCATGCCCGTGCCACCTCTTGGGTGGCATAATCTTTATCAATCAATCAATCAATTATAGCATAGTAGAACTCTGTTTAGTGTTTGTAGGTTATAGTTGTGTGTGTAAACTAAAGTCTTTGAAAATGTAATAAGTTATTACGAAACGCGTTCAAGTGTCGCGTCAGACAAGAAATAAAAATGAATTTTTGAGAATTGATTTTTCAATTACCATCGACAGTGAAAAGAAACATAAGAAATATTGAGAAAATTCGTGTTAGAATTATTAATCTTACTTTTTCGGTCATATATATATAATATATATATATATATATATATATGCGAACAAGCCTGAATGGTCCCCAAGACTATATGCAACTGAAAACTCACACCCCAGAAGTGACTCGAACCCATACTGCCAGGTGCAACGCAACTGGTATGTACAGCGGCCTTAATCCACTTGACCATCACGACCGGACATAAGGAGGTGATAGCCGAGGCTATTTGAACCACCCCACCGCCGGCACTCGGATAGTAATCTTGGGCATAGCATTTTACCAAATCACCTCATTCTTTGGGGCACACTTGAGGAACACAAATGCGAACGAGCCTGAATGGTCCCCAGGACAATATGCAACTGAAAACTCACACCCCAGAAGTGACTCGAACCCATACTCCCAGGAGCAACGCAACTGGTATGTACAAGACGCCTTAATCCACTTGATCATCACGACCGGACATAATGAGGTGATAGCCAAGGCTATTTGAACCACCCTACCCCCGGCACTCGGATAGTAATCTTGGGCATAGCATTTTACCAAATCACCTCATTCTTTGGGGCACACGTGAGGAACACAAATGCGAACAAGCCTGAATGGTCCCCAGGACAATATGCAACTGAAAACTCACACCCCAGAAGTGACTCGAACCCATACTCCCAGGAGCAACGCAACTGGTATGTACAAGACGCCTTAATCCACTTGACCATCACGACCGGACATAATGAGGTGATAGCCGAGCATAATAGCTCATTATGTCCGGTCGTGATGGTCAAGTGGATTAAGGCGTCTTGTACATACCAGTTGCGTTGCTCCTGGGAGTATGGGTTCGAGTCACTTCTGGGGTGTGAGTTTTCAGTTGCATATTGTCCTGGGGACCATTCAGGCTTGTTCGCATTTGTGTTCCTCACGTGTGCCCTAAAGAATGAGGTGATTTGGTAAAATGCTATGCCCAAGATTACTATCCGAGTGCCGGCGGTGGGGTGGTTCAAATAGCCTCGGCTATCACCTCATTATGTCCGGTCGTGATGGTCAAGTGGATTAAGGCGTCTTGTACATACCAGTTGCGTTGCTCCTGGGAGTATGGGTTCGAGTCACTTCTGGGGTGTGAGTTTTCAGTTGCATATTGTCCTGGGGACCATTCAGGCTTGTTCGCATTTGTGTTCCTCACATGTGCCCCAAAGAATGAGGTGATTTGGTAAAATGCTATGCCCAAGATTACTATCCGAGTGCCGGCGGTGGGGTGGTTCAAATAGCCTCGGCTATCACCTCATTATGTCCGGTTGTGATGGTCAAGTGGATTAAGGCGTCTTGTACATACCAATTGCTTTGTTCCTTGGAGTATGGGTTCGAGTCACTTCTGGGGTGTGAGTTTTCAGTTGCATATTGTCCTGGGGACCATTCAGGCTTGTTCGCATTTGTGTTCCTCACGTGT